AAAGAGTGTGTTAATACTTCGATAACCCTTTTTCTTGCACACAGCTTTTCTTGTGAGTGCATGCCTGCCTTCCCTGTGAGAAATGATGACTAATTTAACAACAGAGACAGTAGTCCAGCAGCAAAATATGAGCACTAAGAATCAGGAGTCCCATCCCTTATTCTTGTGTCTTTACTACCGTTTCATTGAAGAGGAGTAAATTGTATAGGCTTTTGATCTCATAGTCTCCTAGTTTGTAAATTGGATAAAACCCACGTCCTTCTCTGAATGGGTACTGTGAGGCTCGTTCAGTTTTTTACAAAATGCCATTACATTCTCAGCTCTGCACCGAGGTGGAACATAGTAGGATGGTAATAGTAACAACAGTATTAATAAGGCCCTTAATTAACATAAATATTGCCATACAGTAGACTGTGCAGCTAATTAGTTAGCATGGTCCCAAGCACAGTTTTAGTGGGAGACAGCTATCATTCTTGCAGACAGTGGCTGGGCACAGTTTGGGGTTAGCACAGGCCAGTAACTGCTTACTAAGCGTTTGGAGGGTGCCACTTTGTCTTGGGGACAAGAGAGAACAGCATATGCATATGAGCAGTGCTGTGCCAGCCGGCTTGAGGTCCGGAGAATATTACCTGAACTGTTTTACAGATGCAGAGAGAGTGACTAGGCATGGAGATGTGCTCCTAGATGGGGACACCGCAATCGATGTGAGGGAAGGTACAAGACTGGAAACTTCACTGGAGTTTGTTGCTGCAATTCTCTATGCCAATGTTATTTGGTTTGTTTTGTTTCCAAGCTTGTAAAGTTTAATGGGAAGTTCAGCGTATATACCTTCAACTTCTGAGTTTTCTTCTGGATCCAGTTCCTTGAATTTTGCAGGAACTTCAAGAATTAGTTATCAGATCAGTTCTGTTCCGCCTCATACACGTAAGAAGCAGATCTGACTTGCACTGTCACTCAGTGGAAAAAATCCTTAGTGAGTGTGCCTCTTCTGGAGGATAACT